GAAAGAGGTATGTGGGTCTATTATAATACACATTATTATTATAATACACAGAGGTATAAATAGTTTGGTAAAAGTCTCTCAGGTGACAATAACCCAATACCACTGTTGAAAATCATTGGTTTAAATAATCAACAATGATAGGTTTTGGGGAACAGATGAAGATGCAACATGTAAAGATGTAACAAGGTGATGGTGTCAAAGCCCCCAGATAAGACAAAGTGTGTTGACCAATCCTAAACTTTGAATGTCGACAGAAAAATTTCATTATTTAGGCAAGAACGAACAGTAAGAGTTTGCATCAAATACCTCTGTGAATACACATCTTTGGGACCACACATTTCTCTGAGGTTTATACACTCTTTAAGTGTAATCTGAAGGAAGGGAATTCCACTTTAAAGAATTCCACTTTAAAGAAATTCTTTAAAGAATATCTTTAGGTAAGTGCCTAGGTTTGGCAAGGCTCCTTCTCTTTTAGAAGCCAATGCTTTAGCAATTACTTAAACTCTGCCAAACATAGCTGGTAGCTTCTCAAGAAAAACCCCACATGCAGAGCTTTTTCCAGCTGGCAACCCCAGGTTACAGAGCTCTCCCTCCCTTTGATCAGCCCTTGGCCACCCGCCTGCTGCTTCTCTACCACTGACCGTGCACAGTGCTGCAGACGGGCCACAAAGGAGGCTATCAGCGCATGCTCATCAGCCAAGTGACTGGGTGTATCCTGGCTATACTGTAACCTAGGAACAACGGAGGCAAAGACAGCAAGCGTGACACAAACACAAGCAAGAAATGAACAAGGATTAAAATGGGCAAATGTCAAAGAAAAATAGAAAAGAAAATCATGATAAGGAAAACAATAAAAAACCACAATGCATAATGGAATATGGTGTTAGACCACAGGGAATACATCACACAAATCCTTTAAACAGAAGCAATCCCTTAGAAAACAGCTTTGGCAGACTGACACTACAGCCCTTGAGAAGGAGAAACCAGGGAGGAGCCACCAAAGCGCCTTGCCCACCAGTTCTGGGCTCTGCGACGGATGCACTTTTTAGGAAATGCCCTCTGGCAGGAAAACTGAGGGAAAGTGGTTCCATTTAATCACTAAGTGGCCCCTTAATGCTTCTATAGTTTTTGTCGACATGTAAGAGTTTTCAGTGTTACCTCATAATACCAGTTAAACCTTTTTATTTCTATAAGGACACTGCCTTTAGCATCATTCTATTTTCTCCCATAAAACTGGTACTTAAACCAAACTTGTTAGGATCGTTATTTAATTGTAAGACAATGTTGCATATAATCTGAGTGAGGCTCTCTCTTATAGATATATGGAAGGTCCTTAAGCACATGATCTTTTTTTTTTTTTAACTTTCTACTACAGAAGTGTTAAAATATGTGCACAAATAGAAAGAGTAATCTAATGACTACCCTTCACGTACCCATCAGCAAAGTTCAACAAAAATGAACGTTGTCAACTTGTTTAATTTATTCTTCCTTCTCCCAACTTTTTGTGCAGGAGGGGGTGGCTAGAGTAATCCCAGACAATTTATCATTTCACCTGGGAATACTTGAGCCTGTACATCTATCAGATACAGAAAGAACTTATACACCTGAACACCATTATCACACCTAAAAAAAAAAAAAAATCACAAAAATTCTTTAATATCTTAGTCCATCTGAAAATTTCCGCAAATCTTAAAAAAAAATACCCTTTTACAGTTAAAGTCAAGATCCAAACAAGGTCTGCACTTTGTGCTTGGTTGATATGTTTCTTTTATGTCTGTGTTTGATTATATGTTTCTGTTTTCAATCTATAACAGTTCTTCCTTTTCGCTGTTTCTTCCATGTCATCTACTTGTGAATAAAACAGGTTACCTTGTAGCATATCCTACATTTTGGAGGCGTCATTTAATTCGTTTCTCTAGTCCCTGTGGGGTCAGATCTAGATGTTGACTAAAGTTTTTGCTTTTGTTTTGTTATTGAGAAGGCGTTAGAATCCATCATATGTAATATCATGTACTTATAAATCAAACAGGAGGCACATAATGGAATGGAATGTAAATACTGATCAGTGGATTCAGGTGTTATTGGTTACGTCTCTCCATTACAAAATCCTCCATCAACTTTTCACCTAATAATTTTAGCATTTACTAATAGTTCTTGCCTAAATACATTATTTCATGAGGGGTTGCAAAATGTTGACTTTCCGATTTTAACATCTGTTGCACATTTATTAATTTCTTCTATTGTTTATTATGAAATACTGCTCATTCAGGAAAGGTAAAACCAAATGGTTGATATTTCTTATTATTTAACAACAACAACAGAAAAACAAGTTAGTGCCTTAGGAGGTATTTTTTTTTTTGTTTTGTTTTTGTATAATTATGAACTCATAGATTTTTATGTATCTGATGTGCTTCAATCTATTGCAATCATCTTTTTGGTGTTCAAACTGTCTTAACTGTGGCCAGTGGGAACCCCTGGAAGCAGGCTCTGGTGCTCTTCTGACATATCCATTAAAGCTTATTAGCTTCCCGGTTTGTACAATAAGATGCCCCAATCTCATCTTGTATATGCTGCTCCACACTTGGAATCAACCATTCTTCCCAGGATCCCAGGTTCCGTTTACTGAGAAAGAGTGCTCAGAGGCCACAGGCAGGGTACTAGAGTGCTTATTGTTCTTGGGGTGTCACTGCTTCTAGGTCTTTTCAGTGGATAAAGCTAGGAAATTTTTATATTTTAGAGAGAATAAAACTAAGTTCTCTCACCACTTTCAGATGCCATTCCATTTTCCAGCTTGCATTATTTTTATTGAGAACTCATTGGAAAACTTTATCTTTGTTCCCCTGTATGTAACATGTCTTTTTTTCTCTAGCGGCTTTTAGTATTTTCTCTTTATCATTGTGATTTTTTTTGCGATTTGATTGTGATGTGTCTTGGTGTGTTTTTCTGTGTTTATCCTGCTTACTTATAGTTTGTTGAGCATCTTGTATCTGTGGGTTTACAGTTTTCATCAAAGATGTAAAAATTTATTTGGAAATTTGGAAAAAATTATTTCCTTGAATAATTCTTCTCTTCCCCCTCTGTTAGACTGTTTGACATTGTCCCAAAGGTCACTGAGGCTCTGTTCGTTTTTCAGCCATTTTTCTCTTTGTGCTTAATTTTGGGTAGTTTGTATTGCTATGTCTTTAAGTTCAGTGAACTTTTATTCTGCAATTTCTAATCTACTGTTAAGTCTATCCATTGAATTCTTCATTTCAGGTATAATCCTTTTCAACTCTGTAAGTTCTCTTTTTTTATTTTAAAAGTTTTGATGGAAGTAGACTATATGTGCAGAAAGTTCCAATAACATTTAAACTTGGCTCTTTTTTATTTCTCACATTTTCTCCACATTATGTTGATATTTTCTTTTATATTTTTGATACTTATCATGGCTGCTTTAAAGTCCATGTCTGCCAGTTGTATCACGTCTGTTATTTCTGGCTCTGTTTATATTGACTAATTCTCTCCTGGTTACGGTCATACTTTCCTGCTTCTTCCTATGTCTTCTAATTTTTCACTGGATGGTGCAAATCCTGAGTATTATGTTGCTGAATGTCTGGATTTTGTTGTCTTCCTCTAAAGAATCTGGCAGTAATTTAATTTCCTTGTGAACAGCTTGATCCTTGTGAGGCCTGTGTTTAAGCTTCATTAGTGCAGAACTCGAGTAACCTTTATTTAGGGCCAATTTCACCCTGCCCCTAAGATGTGGTCTTTCTGGGGTCTTTACTGAATGCCTCAAGTGTTCAGTGATATCTCTCTACTCTGGTTGGTTGGAACTCAAACAACTATGTGAGCTCAGGTAGTTGTTCCACTTTCAAAACTCCAGGAATTGTTCTTTCCCAGGTAGTTGTTCTTTGCTGGTCTTGTGAAATCTCATTCTATGCAAATACAGCTTAGTTTTCAGCCAAAGACTCAAGAGATCTGTCTTCAGATTTATTGAGCTCTTTCTCTGCACAATTCCTCCTCTCTGGTGTTTTGTTCAGCAAATTCCAGCCTCCCCAATCTCCAATCTCTACCTTCTTACTCTCAGCAAGACTGCCTTGCTCTGCTTGTATTCTGCACTATAGTTTGGCAAATGTGTTCTAGCAGAAAACCTGGGCAATCATAGGGCTCTCTCATTTGTTTCCCTTCCCTCAGGAATCAGTCCCATGCTACTTACTAATTCCTAAAAACAGTTGTTTCTTATATTCAGACCAGTTTTCTAGTAGTTTACAGTGGGAGAGCTACTCTGTTACCAGTTAGTTCACCATGATCAGGGTGGAAGTTCTCGCTGTAGTAACTTATTTTTATCATACTTTTGTAAAGTATCAGTCCACTTCAAACTAGAAATTGAAACAAAACAAAACTGTGTCTTTATGGCAGACAGATTGAGAAGTAGGCTATATAACCCTGCACACCATTACAAAGGCTTTAGCTTTTACTGTGATGTTAGAAGTTACTGGAAGGTTTTGAGCAGAAGTGAGGTATGATATATTTTAATAGGATCGTTTGCTCTAGGAAAGATAAAGTGCCAGAGAGCAAAGGAAGAAGCAGGCAATTTGAAGGCTACTGGAGATTCCAGATGAAAGACAAGAGTTGCTAGGAAATAGGAGTAGCAGTAGAAGTGAAAATAAATAGCAAGATCTTGGATAGATTTTGACAGTGATTTTGGATAGATCTGATCTAATAATCTGACAGTTTAGATGGGAGAAGAATCAAGGGTTCTGACCAAGCAACCAGGAGAATGGGATGGCCATTCACTGAGATGGGGAAGACTATGGGAGAAGTACATTTGGTGGCAGAAGATACAGAACTCAGTTTAAAACATGCTAATTATGAAATTATGTATTAAATATCCAAAGAAGATACTGATCAGGAGGAAGATATGTGAGGGGAAAGGGAAAAGCTCAGGGAAAAGGTCTGGGCCAGAAAAATGTTTGGGAGTTACCTGTATGCAGATGTTACTGAAAGCCATGAGTATGGATGAGATCACCTACAGTAAGTGAACACAGACAGAAAAGAGAAGTGGCCCTTCTGGTATGCTAACATCTACAGGTCAAAGAGGTATGGAAAAACCAGCAAAGGAGGCCGAGAAGGAACAGGAGGAAAACCAGAACACAGTATCTGGAGGCAAGTGCAGAAAGTGTTTCACATAGAAGGGAGTGATCATCTACATCAAATGCCACTGATAGGTCAAGCCAGATAAGTCCTGAGAATTCACCACTGGATTTAGCATGTGGAAGTCACTGGTCTCCTTGACAGGAGTGGTTTTGGTAGAGTAATGGGCAGTGAAAATCTGACCAGGGTGTGCTCCAAAGGAAATGGGAGAAGAGAAACTGGAAACATTTACTACGGAGGCAACAGTCCATTAAACTCCATTTTAGTGTTATACGAAGACTGCTCTTCAGAACTTCTGTTGTTTGCCAGATAATTAGGGATGGAAGCCAAAATGAGAAGCATTAACAATAGCTGCCTATGGTAAAAAAGGAATTTACATGTCCATGAATTTTCTGACAATTTTGTTTGGGGCATGGATGTTATATCATTCTACTCACATTCAAAACTGTACCTGTTTCCCCAGATTTACTTTTTGAATTTAAACTCTTTCTTTTTTTGATTATGCATATATGCATAAAATGTGTTGCAATGTGTACATGCAACACATATACAACCCCCAACTTACAAACAGATTTTGCTTTAGAAATCTGTTTTTCTA